GTCCTATCTTAGTCATTCACCTACCTCCATTAGATTCCTAGTGCACCTAATGAATTGCTTATGTGCAACCCTTTACTAGGTCCATCGAAACGAGTGTCAAAGTGCATAAATCCTCTAATGAGATAACCATGATGAATTCAAGTCTAAAAACTAGTTATAACCATTTTGTATGAGATTCTCATAGACTAAACCAAATGGGTTTTCATAGTGAGCCAAGTCTACTCATATGTTCTCTAACATAAATCACTTAAGTGCTTGCTTTGGCATTACCATGCCAATAGGTGTGACATCTCCTACTACTATCGTATAGCATGAGCATAGCACTCATAAGTCTAACCACATATAGTGAATGTACATTATTGACAATGCTACGATTTATGATATTTAATGATATCATTTATAAGTATTAGTGTTTGTCTCACATCTTTTGATCAATCATTAATGCAAATACATATCATATGGACTTCTATCTAATTCTATTCAATCAATGAATGTAAATGACAAGAATTAATAGAAAGAATTCTTTTATTATAAATAATATAGATAATGCAATAATATAATAATTCAAACCCATCCAAAAATGGTTGGATCTTGGGCACCTACACGAACAAACATGTCATTTTTCTTTTCCTTTATTAACATCATGAATGTAAAATCTCTTTCATGCTAATGATATGAAAATGCATTCAATAATATGCATTACCTTATGTTTTACCTTAAACATGCATACTTAATAATTCAAGTGCACATTTAGCGTAATTTTTCAAACATAAACATGTACCAAGTCATCAAAGCATGCATGAATTAATAACAATTCAAACGAACATCAATATTCATCAAATTATGCACTTGCCTGAATATATCAAAGAAATTCCTTTCCACACAACCAAGCACAATTCAATAATAATTTCTCTCATTCATTTATACAAACAAATAAATATTAATCCATCAAATATTCATGGAATTAAACAATTATCCTTAGTTTCCAACCTTGGTTGAAATAGTCACTGCACCATGCCAAGTTGAATTTTTCCTTTTAATCACTTATTTTCATTTAATTCATTCCTTTTACAACCATAAAACACATTAAACATGAAATAATTTTATTACCCTTAAATCTTAGGGCTTGGGTGGATGTATTAACAATCAACCAACCCTAAAACTTTAACAATTTTCACATCCAAACATATTTAGACAATATTAATTCAACAAGTAAACATTTAATCATTCAATTCCACCAACCAACCCAATTAATATAAAACTTAAGGTTATGATTGAGTTATTCAACAAGGGTAACCAAATTCAATTTTTCAATTTAACGCTCCTAAATATACTTAATCCACCTCATAAGCATCTAATTAACACATAAGCAACAAACTAACCATTTCCTCCAAAATTATATGGTTTGGCCGAATCTTCCTCTACCATTACCCAAACATTAACTCATCAATACCACTTCAATTAATCCACAAAACATGTCAATAACTCATGATAACTTTAATTTCATCAATCATTCACCAAGATCAAACAACTTCACCTTAATTCACATAATTGAACTATAAATTCACAATCTTCAAAACATGAAAAATTAAACACCAATTCAACCATTTCTTGTGATATAGTGAGGACTACACTTATCTCACTTGTTTCTTGATAAATTCTTCTCCTTGTTGACTTGAACTTTTTCCTCATCTTCCCTCACTTAGGTTTTGGCGCAAACTCAACTTTTTCCTCCTCCTTCATTTAATTCCTCCAAGATTTCCTACACTAATTTTAGGGTATGACGGTATTAATTTGGTGATTTTGGATGGTGTTTTTTTTTTTTTTTTTTAATTCGTCTTGCGGTAGCTTGAATTTTCCTTGGTTTTTCTTTGAGTTTTAAATTTTCCAATCTTTCATTCTTCTCCTTCTTGCTAAATTATAAGCAAGAATTTCCTTAGGATTTAGCCAAGTGTAGAACACTTGGTTTCATCCTAATTCCATGCATTTAATGCCTTTCTCTATTTTTTTCTTCATTCTTCTCCTCGTTCTTCTACTTTCCTTGATTTTTCTCATAAATATTTTTTCTTCTCTTTTCTTCCATTTTTCAACTTACTCTAGCCTCTCCTTTTCTTCATTTTCAGCCTAATTTTAGCTGGAATTAGTCACTCTAATTGAATTAACTGATCCCTTAAATAACCAAAATTTTGCACTTCAATCCCTAAAATTTTAATTAGTTCAACTAGGCCCTTTAATTTCAGTCCTCAAACTTTTAATTTTTCATAATCAAGCCTTTATTCTAAGTTTTCCTTTCTCAATATTTATGCATGGTTTAAATTATTTTCTAAGTGAGCATAAAATATTAATTCACATTCAAAATAAATATTCATATCTTATTTAAATAAGCTATTCATACAAACATATGTACATTTAACCGGGTTTGTTGGTCAAGGATATTACATTTATACCTACTTTTAAATAAATGATGGACCTAGTTAATTAAATTAAATAATTTTTGTAGCACATCTTACTTAATTGGATAGTAAAAGGACACGAGGCTTGATATCTTAGATTCATTGTGCTTGGAATATGAGGCATTATCAATAATATTCTCGACTTACTTAGGTCTTAGGTCGAGGGAGTTACAACATTTATTTCGACAATTTGAATGTGATATTAAATATGAACATTCTAAAATCAAATCAAGTGCATATATTAAACTAGTTTTTTAAATTTAATTTCTTACAATCAAATAAAAAATTTTAATTTTGATAACACTAAATATATAAGGATTTGTGTTTTTAATGATACAATGTGCAAAATTAAAAAAAAATATTTTATTAAAATGATATCTAAAAAATTATAAAATTCAAGAGTCATTAGTATGATAAAACGGAAAAAAAAAAAATATTGTGTATCTAACATATTTTTAAGAACAAATGCCCATATTCTCATAATTTTTTTAAGTCATGAAAAAAACCATGAAGTACTTAAAATTTTGGAAAATTGAAGAATATAGATAAAAGCTGTATTTTTTGGAATTTTTGAATTCTTTGTGTGAAATCTTATAGAACTTAGAAGTTAAAAATGAGTTAGGACAAGATTATCTTCTAGCTTTTTTTTTTCCTTATAGGCTCGTGGCACAAACTTTTGAAAAGATAATGGATTACTAGTTTATGATTTGAAAATTATTTATTTTCTATAAAATTGGTGTGAGAGATTTAATAAAAATATATCAACAAAATTTTTGTTAGTCATTCATACATTCATCTTAATAACTTATATATATATATATATATATATATATATATATATATATATATATATATATATATATATAAAAAGAGAAAAAGTTAGAAAAGTAACATATTATTTATATATTTTACGGTATAAAACTATAAAAAAGCTGTTAAATAGCGACATGAGTCGTCGGTATACGACGACATATTAGCGAATGAGTAATGATTGTTATCAATTTCTTAATATTTTGGGTTAATAGTGATGGATTAACTACTAATTAATGATGGAATTTCTACAATGGATGACTCGCTTTTGTTGATTTATGCTATAAATTTTTAGTCGTTAATTCGGGGACGGATTACCAACAAATTTGAGATGGATATTAGCCATCGATAATATCATCCATCGCTAATTTTGGGCGTGATAAGAGTTGATGATTTAGTGACGAAATTAGTTCGTCACTAAAAAAAAGAAGCTAAAATCAGCAAGGGAAAATTCAGTCACCAATGATAGAAAAAAAACAATGATAGAAAGTTATTTTTAGCGACGGACTTTATGTAGTCACTAAAAATTAGCATGGAAATTTATGTGGCCAAAAATAGAAAAAAAGATGCAATTTTGAAATTTCAAACGAGACCGACACTAATTTTCGGTGATGGAATTATGTCCGTTGCTAAAAAACCGTGAATTCGAGTGAGCGGCCCTCTTCTTCCTTCGTTTTCTTCTTCTCCCTCACCTCACCCAAAAACTTGTCGCCGTTATGCTACTCCTCCAAAATCCGACTAAAGCATTCACTGCTCGCTCTCCCCTCTAGCAAAGCGACCACCACTACTCCTCCCCCTCTAGCGTAGGTAGCCAACGATCTCCTCCCTCTAGCAAAGTAGACGTTGCTCGTCCCCCGTCTAGCATTCGTAGACATCGCTCCTCCTCCCTCTAGCAAAGTAGCCACTACTCCCCCTTTAAGGTTTGTGAATATGCTTAATTTTTATTGGTTTTGTACCAAATGAGTTATTAGTTGTTCACTTGCCGACTAAGCTGTTGATGTAGTAGAAGCTCACAAGAAGACAATAAATACTATTTATTTGAAATTCGGATACCGATCTACTATAACTCGTTGAATTGTGCGAAATAACATGAAATAGGCTTTAATTTCATTAAATTAAAGAATGTCAAAAATTGAGATAAAATTGAGATACTCTCTCATAAAACTTTATTAGCCAAGAAAAGTGACGTTTTTCTCGCCTTAAAGTCATACTTAAATAGTAAATTTCAGCCTAAATCCTAACTCAATTCAAAAGGAAAACAAATACTAAAAATATAAAAAAAGAAAAAATCCTAAAAAGTAGTAAAAGTGGAATTTGTTTGGCCAAAATCACTCTTAGGTCATAGGCAAAGCCCATGTATTTTGGTTGTTGGCTTTTTAGGCATTGAAATACATCAAAAAAGCCTCAAAATTGAACCGACAATTTCTGCTCAGTTTCTACCATGTTCATATTATCTCATGAATTCCAAGGTCCATTGGTCCGCATCAGACGTTCATTGGTTAATTGCTTTTATTTTTTTCCCCCTTTCCGGCGATATCCAGATATCGAATTGCTTATCTGATGAAACTTGTACCAGGACTCTTCGTCAACACTCTGATTACGTTACTTGTCTTGCAGCAGCAGAAAAAAATGGAATTTTTATGTCAAATTTTTTGTGGATCTTATTAACTTCATGGATGAAAGGTTCATGTCGGTGCATCTTGCTATCTTAACTTAAATAGTCAATCCAGTAAAACCATGCTTGAAAGTATGGTTGTATTATCTTAATATCGTTGGACTCATTTTCTGATCTTGTTTTATGGTAAAGCATTTTAGTGCAATATTGCTGCCTCTGGAGGCCTTGGTGGGGAAGTTTTCATATGGGATGTGGAAACTGCACTTACTCCAGTGTCAAAGTCTGGGGATGCAATGGAAGAGGATTGTTCAAATGGTGTAAATGGTTCTACTAATTCTTTGCCCATGACAAGTTTACGAACCATTAGCTCAAGCAATAGCATTTCTGCACACACGACTCAGTCCCATGGATATGTCCCAGTTGGTGCTAGAGGCCATAAGGAATCAGTCTATGCATTGGCAATGAATGATAGTGGAACTCGTCTGTCTCTGGTGGGACTAAGAAGGATATTAATATTCAGATATTACAGTTATTTGTTTGTTTATTTATATTTTGATAATTTAATAGCTATTATTGGGAATGAGAACTTGAACTCGGTGCTTTCCTGTTTTCAGAGAGGTGTACCATTAGGCTTATGTCTCGGAGGTAGATATTTCGATCATTTGTGTTCTTACCTCTTTATGCAGTTGTACCATAAACACATAAGATGATGGAAGGAGCTTATATGCATGTCCTCTGCATTCATGTTTAATTTTGATCATTTAATAGTTTGAAAAGATACTGGCTTCTTGTAAGTAAGAGATGATTTATCTCATCCTCATCCCTCTAGATTGTGCGCGTTTGCGACCTCCGTAGTGGTTCGAAGGCTATGAAGCTTAGAAGGCATACTAAAATTAGAGCTCTACATCTGGATTCTACTGGCAGGTAGGTTGAATGGGGTCTGCAGCTCTTAAGTTTTGTTTGCATGGGATTTTTTGTTAGGAATTAAAGTTTGGTTGTTCTTTAGTTTATCTTGTATGATAAGGAAAAATTATAATTGTCCACCTACCATATGAAAAAAAAAAAAAAAGATTCTAGTATATGGATTGTGATTCTTATTGCTGCATGCATTCATTACTTCCTTTGAATGTGCTCATAACAGTAATCTGTGAAGAACTATACGAATGATTTATGTTTCTTAATAGTTCAGGGAGTGTATGGGTTGTACTTGTATTTTTCCCACAAAGACTTCTCTTTTCTGTAGCAATTTTAATTGGATTGCTCTTCCACTTGTATCCTTTTTTATTGTTTTATCTTAATAACACATTTTCCAATTTATTCTTGTAGGTATTGATTCTCAGGTTCTTCTGATTCTATGGTCTGGTGGGTATTTTACCCCTTTTTTCTTTCTCACTTTGATCCATCTGTCCAATATCTATCACTACAATCTTAAAAATTTACTAGATCTTGTTTTGAACTGTTCACGAATTGTTCTGTAGGGTGTGGGACCTTGGCATGCAGCGATGTGTGCATTCATATGTTGTGCATACAGATTCTGTTTGGGCACTTGCCAGCACTCCAACATTCAGCCATGTCTTTAGGCATTCCAACATACAGATTCTTTTTGTAGTTTTTTTTTTTAATTATTTTTTATACTAGAGTATATATTTGATTTGATTAGATTTTATATTATTTTTATTTTACACAATAATATTTCATGTTATAATTTTATTTTTACTTATTTGCTACTATAATTAAAAATTAAACCACTAATAATAAATAAAAAAAAGCATTTTCAACATTAGCAATAGATCAACGACTAACCAACGATAAAAAAATGATTAAATTACATCAAATACTGATGGATTATTGGCCAAACAGATACAAATTAGTGATGAAAAATTTTTAAAAATTTTTGTCAGCGATTTTTCATCTCATTAGCGACAAAAGTACATTCTTACGGTGATAACATGTTCGTCGATAATTTTATCATATTAGCAATGGACAGACTTTATTATAGTGACAATTTATCTATCGCTAATTTAGCGATGAAAGTTATAACTTCCATCGCTAAAATTATTAGCAACAGATTAGATTCGTTGTCATTCCATAGTTAAAACAAAATAATGATGAAATATATAAATTTAGCAACCGAAAAAAGTATTTCGCTACAGACTTAATTTTTTATAGTGTATTATTCATAGACAATCTTTGCTTTGTTTTGAATGAGTCATGCATCTTTGCTTGCTGCATTATAAAAAACACTTTTTTTCACACTTACACATACTTTTTTATAATTTGTTCCCCTAGCAACACACGGAATGCTAACTAATGTACTTTTTAATCAAACTTACATTTAACATGTGTTACTATGCATAGCAGTAGAGTACTCAAAAGCCTTTTCGAGTGAAGCATGTTCAGTCAGGGATGGCAATGAAGATCTGCCTAATAGAAGTCTGCATGTACCCGCACCCGATGAAGGTGGTTTTTTACCTGCAAAAGCGGTTATGGAGATGGGTGTTAAATACTTAAGTAGAGGCAGAAGCGGTATGATAACCTCCAACTCGTCTAGCCTTCATACACACATATTTTTATATGCATAAATTTTAATATTTATGTTTTTTTCTTTTTTTTTTTTTGAGAATGCATATTTATTTTAATGACAATAGAGCATTTTAAAGCTTTTTATGTTAATGATAAAGAGGTATAAATGCTTTTCTATAACGAAATAAATGGTAATATAAGACAATAATCAAGATTTTCCTATAAAAAAAAATAACAAAGATCTAATTTCATATTTGCTTAATTTTGATGTAATTTTATTGTTTTTGGATTTTAATTATACTTGAGGGACCGAAAATAAAATATAGACAAGAATAGAAATTTTATTAATGATTTTGTTTAAATTAATCTTCTTTTAATATTAGTTGTTATTGTAAAAATAAAAAATGAAAAAAACAATTGTTGTTTGGCGTAACACAGTTATCAGCCAATCGAAACCCTAAAACTAAAATGCTTTTTGTTTTTAATTCTTTAAAAATATGTGTTGTTTTTTTAATGGAGTATACGTGACCAAACTTGACGAATGAATGATATTATGTTGGGGGGGGGGGGGGGGGTGGAGGGAGCTAAAAACCTAAATTAAAATAAAAAAAAAGGTTGAGAATTCATTTTGTATTTACAAATACGCCTTATTATAATACGAAAGCGGTTAATAATATGCAATTTTGGAACATTTATCGATCCAGATTGCACTTTTATGCAAAGAGATTATTGTATACTAACCTTCACTCATCTAAAAATAGAATTTACAAATAATTATCATAGTAGATTTTATTTTTATGTAAGTATGGAAACAATACATCAAAAATCCGGTAATTTCTCCTTTACCTATTGACTTCAATCCCAAAACATGTCGTCTTTGGTTAATTGAACATCAACGGCTTTTCTTGGTTTGAGGTTGAGATAAGCGGTTCACATTCAATTGCATCTTGGGGTTAGGGATGGCAATGGGACGGGCGAGGCAGGGATTGCCATCCCCATCCCCGCCTTGTCCCTAAGAAGAAAAACTCATCCCCGCCACGTGCCCTATTCAAGGCAAAATTTCGCTCCCCATCCCCGCCCCAAACGGGGTGGGACGAGGCGAGGCCCCGCTAGATTATCTTTTTTAAAGGCAAAAGGACGGGGTGGGCGGGGATCGCCATCCCCATCCCCGCCCTACCCAAAAAAAAAAAAAACACCCATCCCCACCCCATGCCCCGATCGGGGCAAAATTTCAAACCCCATCCCCGTCCCAAACAGGGCGGGTTGGATTGCCATCCTTACTTGGGGTTTCAACATTCAATAGTGAAGTGTTGTGTGCAAATTGGACATCGGCATAAGTCAAGGTAAAAGTCTTGTAGGCAAATGTAGGTTTACTTGCTCTAAGAAAAAAGTTCTAGGTGGAAGAAATCCAAATTATTAAATCTAACTAAAATAAAATAAAATAAAATAAAGATTGAGGTTGGCTCAAGTTGTGGCCTAGGTGAGAGTAAATTATAACATATAAAGAAACAACAATTTAGCAAGGCGATTAGGGATGGATTAAAATCCATAGCTAAATAGCTAAGGATTAGTGAACAATTTACGACTACCATCAAAATGCGGGTGTTAGCAACGGACTATTGATAGATTTACGACGTATCTTTAACAACAAAAGATTTTCATCATTAAATAAGGTAGTAAAATATTCATGGTTGTTTTAGCAACGGATTGGTGATGGTATTACAAGGATATTTAGCAACGGATTGGCGATGGTATTACAAGGATATTTAGCGACGGATATTCCAATCTATTGCTATTTTTTGATTTCTTTTCGAGTCCGATTAGTGATGGAATATTCTGTCATTACCCCTTGATGTTGTCACCCATCAACAACAAATCTCCTTCATTGCTAACTTTACCAAAACAACGAACAACTCATGTCGATTGCTATTTTTGGTGAAAAAATTAGGATTGTTTGAAATTCAAAATTAACAATGGAGTTGTGTCCGTTGCTAAAATTAAATATCAAATTTGGCGGAATCTTATTTCCTTCTTCCTTCTCCCTCCCTCTCATCCCTTAGTCGCGACCACCTAAGTTAACCGTTAACTACAACACCCCCAAAAACACCTCGCAAATGTCACTCCCCATCAATCTCCGACCACTCTAACTATCTTCTCTCCCAAAACAGACTAAGGTTTCCTCTTTCTCTCTCTAGGTCTCCTCCACCTTATGTCTCTCTCTCTCTCCTTCTTTACTAAAAGAGAAGCTCAAATAGGTATATTTCTTCCTATTAATTCATATTTTATATTTAATTTATGTGCGCTTTGTGTATTACTCTTGATTTTGCTATTTTTAGATATTTGAAATTTTATCCATTTGTATATATGCAATTAATTATTAGTAAATATGTTAAGAAACTTAATTTATGTCATTTGAAATTTAATTGAGTATTTTTTAATTTATTATAACTGTTTTGAATTAATTAGGTTTGGGTGTTGATAATTTAGAATAAAATTTTGAGTATGTAATTTGTTATACAATGATTAAAAGTAAATGTGGAGTCATTTGATAATTAAATTATTGGATTTAAAATAACATATTAATTTTAAAATTGAGATAATATATGATTCTTTAAACTTAAGAATTAAAAATTAATAAATTATTTTTTGATCAAATTTGTTTGATATAAATAAATAATTAGTTGTTTTATGAACTATGATATTAATTATTTATATACAAAATTGTTATAACTAATCGGTAGCATTGCTAACAATCACTCCAATCGCTCAAGTAATTTTCCGGCCACTCCTACTTAGAAAGTATGTTATCAAAATCTCAATTTATAATTTATGTCATAGACCAATTTTTAGTTAGTTGTGAAAATTGATATTGAATATATTTTATTGATGATTTTTGAAGTTTGTTGAGATACGTCATAGTGCATTGAATCGGAGGGGTCGGAGGACCTCGAGAATTTAAGCACAATAAGGTTGGTTCAAAGCTCTATGATGGAGCTAAATTGATGAGTTTGAGATTTAATTTAATAGATTATTCGAGGCAAGTGCTAATGTTGGTATTTTTTCAAAGCTCTAAAGTAGAACATTATTTTTTCAAAAAGTGTTACGATGAGTTATGTCAACTAATGAAAGAGTTTATGTTTATTGATAAATATATGATAAAAGACTTCTACAACACAAAAAAGTTGGTGAAGAAGATGGATTTATCGGTTTAAAAGATCCACTTGTTGCAATCATGGTTGCATGATTTTTTAGGGCAAAGGTATTGAATTAATTGCTTGTAAGTTTTATTATCATTCTCTATATCAAAGTCTAATATGCGGATTAATGAGAGCAAAAGTTGTTCCATTTAAAAAAAATACTACTGTTTGCTCACATATAGTTGTAAAGACTCGTATGCGTTAAGGTTAAGGATATAAGCATAATGCATCATTGCTTTGACTCTCTTGTATGGTGGCATTTTGATGAAACGATATAGGTGTAATATGTCATTGATCTGATTTGCTTGCATGGTGGCATTTTGACTAAGTGCATCCTTCTTTTACATAAAAAAAAAAGAAATGTTATATTGACAATTTTTACTTATGGGTTTCAACTTTTTGGTCAATTTAGTGTGTAATATTCTTTTTGATCGATAATTGTCATGCCTTACAATTTTTAATCGTGGGTGTGTATATAGGAGGAATTGTGTTCTTAACTATTGTTATGCTTGGATTAAAAAATCTAAAGAATATATTGGATGTGTTCTTTTATCCCTCGATCTTAGAGATGCTTTAATTGTGAAAGTTGATGTGCTTACCTATGATATGTCTTAGAAGCAGAATATTCTATTGCGAGCTATAATTATGTGAAAACTCAATGACTTTTCTACATATTTAATGTTGTTTGATTGGAGAATTGTATGGAGAATTTAGATGCATATAACCTATCTAATAGAAGAAAGATGTTACTGTTTGACAATCATCATAAGTTCATCCTATAGATCATCCATTTAGAAGGAACATGAACTCATTCAACACAAATAGGGTTGTTTCATATAGTGCCCCCTAATCTGGTTTAGAGTAGAGATTTTTAGAGTAGATAGATAGTTTAGGGTTAATGAATGTCACGGAAGAAGGTACCGATGCAAATAACGATAGAAGATTTATAATGTGCGACAAGACTGGAACACACCGAGTTATGGGCTCGTTCTAAGCAAGTGGCATGGATCCGCATGAACGAGATGAGTTTTGTCGATGCTAGGCCATCCGGACATAGAAAGGGCTCTATCTCATAGGTTAAGCATGCTAAATGAATGGTAAATCTTACTATCTATTTTATTATAAACTAATATTTAAATTTATTGCATCCATGTTATTTATTTCTACTTTTTTTTTTAGGTTAAAGAGTTGGGTTGTGACTCAGGTCCTTATAAGTTGTTCGTGATGACTCATAGGCGTTGGGATGGGTCGTTCATGGATTTGTGATCCTAGATAGTTAGAGTAATTTTTTATTATTATAAGTATACATTGTAAATTTAATTAAAAAATTATTTATGAATTAGTATTATATTTCTTTTTGATTGCATAGGAGAGTGTGGACTAATTGTATGATCAACTACTAGCCAACATTCGGTGTGTGATTCATCATCTCTAGACATTGATATGTCATGAATATATCTCAAGGATGTAGAAAGGGAGAAAAAGTATAAAATGTATGACCTCAAATCATAGACATTCCAGTATTAATCACATTTTAGCACTAGCTCATCCTCTCGCCACATCTCATTTCCTTGGTCATATGCAACAAGATCATGAGTAGTGTCAATAAAAGCTAGAAGACATATAATATGGCTATACTCGATAGATCCAAGAAGCGAAGAACAAATACAAAGTAGAAAACTAAATTATGTAGCAACGGATGCAGAGGGTAGAGTAGTAGTTAGAGGAATCACTCGAAGTAGTATTCCTCGTTCTAATGCTCCCCTCCCCCGCCCAAGAGTTTGTAGTTTCTTTCAATACCTAGCACCCGAAAACCGAAACAACAAATGATCTTGATGAGGATTAGTTTTCTTTTAAATTATTCTTTTTAATGAGTTTGTATACCAAATAATATTGATATATATTAAATTTGATTTTACATTCATTTAATTTTATTCAATAACATTTTGTGTTATAATTTTAATTTTAA